ATGAATGTATGTCATTCTAAACCTTTAGAAGGTGCATAAATAACAATTGTAAAGTTAATGAAAGAGATTCTCACCAGCACTATTGATTTGGAGAACAGCTAGTAGGTTTGAATTTCTAGAAGAGGTTTGTAGTGCGGAAATGTATTTGGTACAAAAGGAAAAAAAAATTAAAGTGATTTTCAGAAAGGTCCCTGGGGATAGAGGTTAGTCATAAAAGAAGCCAAATTTAATGAAAATTGCCCAAGATTAAAGTTAAAAAGGAAGTTGTGAGTCAAGAACTTTCTCCTGATGTTCTCATTGTATCAGATCAGTGACTCGTTTGTTAACTCAGTTCCAATCAGTCACTTTCTGTGACTTGGATTCCTAGATTATGAAATGGTGCTAATTCACTGTTTCCATTTAATTGTCTCACTAGAAATTAAAAGAAAAAAGTTTTTCTTACAAGTAAGTAGATTGTCATCCTTAAGCTGTCTCTAAAAGGTGAATATTTTTTCTACATAAAAATAAATGAGTTTTCCATGGGTTCAATAAATTTAAAGCATTTTGATCACTGTGTTACCCAGGGAAGACTAGTTTTGTCTTTGTATGGTAGAGCAGTTTTCCACAAAATTTAGAGGGAAGTGGGACTCATTTATGATTCTTCCCCTCCCAAGACCTCGCCTTTCTTACACCTTCCTCTCCTTATAAACAAAGCCAGCAAAACCCAGGAGGTTGACGATTGCTTGCTCAAAGGTTGCTCAATCGTGTTGTAGAGTAGTGAGAAACTCTGAAGAAATGAAACATACTTTACTCATACGGAAAGTAACTGTGCCTTGGAAATGTTCAGGACTCGGTAATTAACAGGGCTTGTGTAGCTTTGCATGAGAGCCAATGTGCTAGCAACACAGCAACAAATGAAGGTGTGAGAATTTCTTTCATATCCAAAGTGGTTAACATGGGACAATAACAGAAAGCCAGGCCTTTTCTTCCCAATAAAGGAACAGTGGTAGAGCTTAGAGCCTTTTTATATGTGTTTAAGATAGAGTCGCAAGTTTCATGTTTAAGAATGGCTTCTCATGTAAATAAGTTAGTTCCCCATACACCTTCTCCTTGAGGCATAGGCCAGATGGATTATGTCCCATTTTACAATGACTGGTGGAGAATAACCATACTCTTTTTATTGCTAAAAAAGTCTTAGTGACGCGATACTTTTGAGCTTATGCATAGATAATGTGATAAAATAAAGGCATATGGTAGATGAAAGGGTTTGGTTCTTTTTGAGGTCTGATTTTCAGATTTTCCAATTGGAAACTTTTCCATTATTTGAAATTGAAACTTAATCTACTTTTTAAAAGCATCTGTGTCTTACACTGCTGGTGGGACTGCAAACTGATACAATCTTTTTGGAAGGAAGTATGGAGAATCCTCAGAGAACTCAAATTAGACTTCCCATTTGATCCTTCAATCCCATTACTAGGCATCTACTCAGAAGAAAAAACAATCCTTTTATCATAAGATTTGTACTAGACTGTTTATCACAGCTCAGTTTACAGTCACCAAAACATGGAAACAACCTAAATGCCCACCAACCCAGGAATGGATTAACAAGCTGTGGTATGTGTATACCATGGAATACTATTCAGACACTAAAAAAGATGGAGACTTCACATCTTTTGTATTAACCTGGAGGTGAAACGCATTCTTCTTAGTAAAGCATCCTAAGAATGGAGAAGCAAGAATCCAATGTACTCAATTCCAATATGAAGGCAGTAGATGAACTAATACAAGGGGAGGAATAGGGGAATGAGGATTAGGAAGAGGGGAGACGGTAGGGGGTGGAGGGGGGTCATGGTACATGGCATAGCTCAGGGATGGGACACAACTACAAGAGGAACTTTACCTAACAACTGTAGTCAGTGTAACCTAATTATTTGTACCCTCAATAATAATTAAAAATTATTGTACCCAAACAATAATTTTTTTAAAAAAGGCATCTATCTCTATAGTCTTCCTTAAAAAGGAAAAAAAAGATAAGAAAAAAGAAAGAGATGGGAACTTCCTTTTTTTGCTTAATTGATTAAATATTAATTTTTCACCATCTATTTGTGATGCAGTTTTCTGATCGTGGATAAAAAGTATACAGTTTGGGTTTATTTTTTTAAGGGTAGATAAGTGACTTAGGAAGAAAAACCTATCAACAGGATATTGATAAATACTAAATAAATAATACAGGTGGGTATGTTACAGTTGTTGTAGTTGTTAAAGATTTGATAGGAAAAGAGAACACTTCTAGCTGGGGTCATCAGAGTAGACTTTGGAGAAGAAAATGGAAAGTCGGTAAGCCTTGCAGAATGAGAGAACTATGAGTAGCAGTGGAGAAAGGGAATTCCATCGTCTCATGGCGCAGAGGCAGGGGTCTGGTATGGCAGGTTCAAGGGATAATGTGTAAACTGTAGCATAGTGTTTAAAAACATACATCCAGACAGCCCAAGTTTGGGACTGCCTTTTACTTGCTGTATTACCCTATGTGGGGTTTTTAATCTCTTTTTGCCCCAGTTCTAGAGTAAAAGAGTAGTACTAACCATACCGAAACCATACAGCTATTGAAAGGGTTTCAGAATAATGCTTTATATTAAGTATAAGTTAGTATGATGATGATGATGATGACGGTGGCAGTGAAATACTATACGTAAGTATAAAGGACAAGGTTGTGAAAATTGGAGTGGTCTGTTGAGGTACTATATATAGTTTCTAGTGAGTAGTTAGAGAAGCTTTATAAGCAAGAACATGTCAGCAGAGTAATGTTTTTGGAAAAATAATCTACAGAATAAGTTGAAGAAGGGAGTGACAGAAGAGTGATTCCGTGGTCTGAGCAGGGACAATAGAGGATGGGTTGGGTTAGAAAGGAGGGACGACCTCAGAAACATTCACAGGCAGACTGCAGTGCCTGCGTAAGTGGAAGAATTCAAACATAAGGAGTTCATAGGGAGAGCTGGTAATGTCTGCAAGAAGACGAGATCCATTTTACACATTGTGAAATTATAGACAGTAACTGAGGGCTGGCATGGTGGCTCACGCCTGTAATCCCAGCACTTTGGGAGACCAAGGCAGATGAATTACCTGAGTTCACAGGTTCGAGACCAGCCTGAGCAAGAGCAAGACCCTGCCTCTAAAAATAGCCTGGCATTGTGATGGGTACCTATTGTCCCAGCTACTCAGGAGGCTGAAGCAAGAGAATCGCTTGAGCCCAGGAGTCTGAGGTTGCTGTGAGCTATGATGCCATGGCACTCTACCCAAGGTGACAAAGTGAGACTGTCTCCAGAAAAAAAAAAAAAAAAAAACAATAACTGAGAATGAAAACAGGATCCCAGTCCAGTTGAGTCATTTGAAACATGGGCAATAGTAGAGCTCCCTGGTCTGTGAAGTGCTGTTTCACAGAGCACATGCCAGGCGGGGCACTGGAGATGTGCTAAGTGTGAACACTGGGGTTCTGGGTCTGTAATTGTCCATTATTGCAAACTTTATTCTAGTGAGGGAGAGTTACCACATCAATTATCATAATTAATCTTACCAGTTCTAACCACACCTTAATATGGATACTGTCAATGTGTACATGTGTCTGTATATGTATATGTACATACATCTGTCTGTATGTAAGTACACTCTCTTGATTTTCTTAAAAGTTGTTCCTTTACACCATTTGCATGTGTATCTTTTCTCTTCATTAGATTTTAACTGTCTATAGGTAAGGAGCAGACTTTCTACTGGTTTCAATTCCTCACACTATTTACATTCATTAATTTATATATTGATTCCAAGTCATTCATTCATTCATTCCAGAGACTTTATTAGTTGCTGGGATGGAGAATAAGAAATTGTTTCTGCTCTCAGGGAGATTATTTTCTGATTGGGGGAATAAAAGGTATAGAAATAATGTAGTAGAAGTGATGATAAAGGCATTCACAAAAAATTATGGGAACATAGACGAGAAACATTTAATCAAGATGATATGGAGGGGATAGTGGGCAGAGGTATTTCAGGGAGGATTTTTGGAGTAGTTGATTTCTGGGCTAAACTCAGTAGTGGTTACTAGGTAAATAGGAAGAAGACTAAAAAAATGGCATTACTGACAGTGAAAACAGCCTGAGCATAGACAGACCCATTCTCAAGAAAAAGCGAGGCAGTGTGGTGTTGCTGTAGCGCCAAGTGAAAGGCCCCTCTGAGTGGCAGGCCTGCACCCCTGGGGGCCTGTAGGAGCATGTGGAAACATGGGCCACATTCCATGGTCAGAACAGGGAGAATCCTGAAATGCTTGACACAGTTTTGGGGGGCCAGATTTCAGTCTTAGGTGGCAGTTGGGAGGATGAATTTTAGGAGGACCAGACGTTTTTGTGGCTGATCCAGGGGAAGCCATTAAGGATCTAAACCAGGGCAGTATTATTAGAATGGAGAAGAGAAGTCAAGATCAAGCACTGTTGTGATATCAGATCAGCAAAACCTGTTACTTTGAAGATGAGCGAGAGGAAGGAGCAAGGATGCTTCTCAGGTAGCTACCTCATATGTCTTGGCAGAGGATTGTACAGACTGCTTACAGAATACAGAAGGAGAGAGGATACAGTGAGCTCATTTTTGGTATTGTTATCTGCAGTACACTGAGATAGATTTTAAAGTGTATGTGATATATTTGGAATTAAATTTAATTAATAATTAGAAGAGATGTCCTGATACATATAAATGTCTCACTTTTGCCATTCACTTAATCGTATCTCCTCTTCGAAGCAGATGTGTGCAATACCTGTGCATACACCTGTCTTAACTCCTTCACATGTTGGAATCCTTGATTTTCTTTCCTATGCAGCTTGTGTGGTCTGCAGCCCAGTGTTTAGTTCATAACCTCACCATAAATGTGAGTTAAAAAGCAAGTGAATCGATCATTCTAAAAGCTAGTATTATTTGATTATTAGGAAAAGTTTATGTGTGGTTAATGCCTGTTCTGATTCTTCTGTGTTTTAACTCCTTAGCACCATCCACTGGAAGAATTTCAAATAGTGCTGTTTCCTCAGGAGCAGTGGCACCAACCAACTCAGCTCCGGGACAGACCCAGCCCAGTGACCAGGACACGTTAGTGCAGAGAGCTGAGCACATCCCAGCGGGGAAGCGGACTCCCATGTGCGCCCATTGTAATCAGGTCATCAGGTGGGTTCTTTGATTTTTGAAATGTTTATGAAAATACCAATGCTGATTTTTTTTTTTATATTTTGAAATATTTGAAATTTTACTAGTGGAAATATTCTGACCATCATCCTTTATAATATTTATTATTGAGTAAATTAATATGAATGTATATTGTATTAGAATCTATTTTAGTGGAAAGTAATTTTGGGCATTGTGAAAATGAAACTAAAAATGCTAATTGTGTCCATCATTATTAATTCTTACCAGAGCTAAGGAAAAATAGTGATTGATGTGGCCTTTCAGAAAAGAATAAATTTCTTTTTTTTTTTGGCACCATAGCTCATAGCAACATCCTCTTGCATCAGCCTCCTAAGTAGTTGGGACTACAGGCACCCACCACAATACCCAGCTATTTTTAGATATCATGTCTCACTCTGGCTTAGGCTGGTCTTGAACTTGTGAACACAAGCAGTCCACCCACCTTCTCCTCCCACAGCACTAGGATTACAGACATGAGCCACTGCGCCCAGCCCCAGGATAGTAAAATTTAAGGCTCAAAGGAGCCCGGATGATCATTTATTCCAATCTTGTTATTTTACAAATTATAGAAGTGAGAACTTTAATTTAGATGAAAAATAATTGGTAACATGAAGTAAAAAACTTGGAGCCTTAGAAAAAAGATTGAATTTTTCAATACCTAAATATCAAAAAGTAATTACCTTAATATCTGTTCATAAGTGCTTTGAGTGTTAGGTGGGATAACTTGTGCCTTTAAAATATTTTTTGTCCAAATCTATTTCATTATCTCTTAAATTCCAAGAAGGAAAAAAAGTCTCAGAGACCTTAAGAGTATAGTCCACTGGAACTTATTAAATCTGTGTTTTTTATAAGTGGCTTTTAAAATGTTATGAAGTATGGGTATGAATGCTAATTGCAGGGATGCCACCAAAAGGACCTCATCGCTGCTTTGTGAGTTGCCTTATTGATAGGAACAAATGATCGTTTGAAGTGATTTATCAAGCTCTCTTCTTTTTTAATTTATCCTATATGTATTTTCAATTAGTTGAAACAATGGCTTCTCTAAAGTTAAATAAGATTAAGACTTAACTGCATTTTCCCTTTCTCTGTTCTGTTACATAATTATTGCTTAGCATAATATTTCTAGGTAATACTTTAAATGGAGCCAAGAAACCTCAAAATTTCATTAAAGAAAGAACAAGATATAAATAATCCTCTCTTTAACCTACTATTAATTAAATAATATGTGTCTCGAGAACAGAGCACACGGTATGTGATTAAAAGTTGAATAGCTTTTTTATTTTAAAGGTAGTCAATGTTCATTGTGACATTAAAAAAACATAGAAAAACAGAAAGTAAAAACAAAGTTTGTACATAATCCTACCTCCCAAAATAACTGTGATTTTTCACTCATACTTCTCGAACACTTACATAAAAGGACAGATATCTTTTTACAGAAGTGGAAAAATATAGTGCTGTGTAAGCTATTTTTTTCCACTTAAATTGTATTTTACAGAGTGAGTACCTGCTTAGTAAGAATTAGTGAGTAACAGTGCCAGTAGTAATAGTGGAAGGAAGGGAGGAAGGGAAAAGCGGTCATCTTCCTAAGTCCAGCCCAGTATTCATCAGGCAGAGGCATTTAGTAAATGTTTACCTGAACAGATGATGCGTGCCCTAGGCCCATCCATCATTCAGGCCAGAACACCAGTGTGGCTAGAGTCATTTTCCTGTAAGTACTAGCATGGGATTACTGTCTTACAGAAATATTTAAACTAATATAAAATTGGTTCTACTTTATCCCAATAAATAAAATGTTTTAATTATTACCCGCATTAAGTTGTTATTTTTAATAAAATAAAATAAACTGACTTGTAACATTATTTCTGTTTTAATATTTAGATTACCTAGACTGATGTTTAGAGTTACTATAGTCTGGATAAAAACACCCTTTATGAAGACTGTTATTTGTGTACTATTGTAAACAAATAATTACTGTATGAGTTAACAAAATGTTAAATCACATAAGTTGCAGATTCATGTTTGATTATAACATTCAATAATGTTCTGTAGTCACCACTCCTAGGACTTCTAAAAAACTTAGTATGGAGACGGTATGAAGAGCAAAGTGAAAATTAGATTTACCACCTTTAACTTGCCATGATTTCAAATTTAATGCTAGGCCAGGATGCAATTTTTTAATGCACAATCATCCTGCTATATAAAATAAACCAATATTGTGCTGATAGTGTGAGTGGCTATTCCTTATTGCTCCCTCATTTATTAAATTTTCTTATTGGCCTGGATTATTCGCTGCTTGTTATCAGTTAAGCATTAAAGCTTCATTTAAGGAATTTAATAAGAATGGGGATTAGTTCATGTCAGGATCACATAACCATAATTAACACAGCACATTGGCCTGGTGCTCAAGTGCTGCAACAGTTTGAATAGATTGTGGTCAGTTCAGAGGCTACTCAAAGCGTAATTCTAGTTCCTGGCTTCAGTGTCAGTATTACTTCAAAGCAAGGAGGTGTTGGATAAGTGACATTCATTTGGACACCTGTTTTAAAAACAACCAGCAGTTTGAGGCTTGATACTTTCAATACAAAATATACCTTGGCAAACTCCAAGAAGTTTAAGATTTATTTTGTAATTTATGTTGTTAGTTTTCTACCATGGAATTTATTTTATTTATAATTCATAGTTGTTTTATGTTTACCTTTTCAGTGTTTCAAATTTTCAAAAGTACTTTCTATGAAAGAACAGACGAAAGCACATTTTGTGTTTTATTTTATTGGCTTTTCGGTGTTTGGGGGGAGTTTAAATTTTTTACTAGCAGAGTTGATTGTTGTTTGGAAAACCTCAGAAACCTGAATGTTAATATTTCAACTGCTTATCTCTTTATAGAACACATCACATTCAATTTAAAATTCCATTGTTTATTTTATTTGGATCTAATGTTTAAAGTTTTTTGGCTTATTTGAATTATGTAAAGTTTATGGATATTTTGCCTAAATTGTATTGTGGAGCCATTACTTTAGTTACAAATTGAATAAATAGGTAGTTACATCTTAGAAAATTGTGAAGCTTTAACTTTGCTGGGGAACATTTCTAGTCCAATTTTGATAGAAGTACCATTTCTTTAATTCTTATACTCATGAGTAGATTTACAGAAAATTAGGCAGTTCTAGCCAAAATCAGATTTTAGTTTCCCTGGTATAATGGGCTTATGAATGTCTTAGCTTCCCTCCCTCAAAATATTTTGGTTATATGAATTGCTTTTGTACCATTTGAGTCAAAGTTACACGTGTGCCCATCACCCGGATAGTGTGTGTTACCCATTAGGTGTGAATTTACCCCTGCCCTTCCTTTGCCTCCCACCTGCCTGCTTTCCTTTGGGTTTTAGTACCAAATGTGTACATGGGCATTGATTGATTAGCTTCAGTTTAACAGTGAACGCATGTGGTGTTTGTTTTTTCATCCTTGTGATACTTTGATTTAGAAGAATGATCTCTGGTTTCATCTAAATTGTTGCAAAAGGTATTAGTTTACCATTTTTTATGGTTGAGTAGTACTCCATGGTATACTCAAACCACATTTTCTTAATCCACTCATGTATTGATGGTCTTTTTTTTTTTTTTTTTTTTTTAAAGACTGGGACTCACTGTGTTGCCCAGGGTGGAGTGTGGTGGCTTGGGCATGTGTGAGCCACAGCATCTGGCCCCCAGCTTATTTCTTGAGTATTATGTCTAGTGCATTAAAATCTGTGAGCCCTGGTATTACATGCAGTTAACTGAATCATTTATATTTGGCTTCTTAACAACTTTGTGAAAGAAATAAGGGATTTATACCACATGGTACTTGTATTTCTTCTTAAATGTGGAATGCTTTAAAAAATAGCTGCATTATTATTGCTGTTTTGTTTTTGCCTTTAGTACAGCACCAGAGCAACTACATTATGCAGGTGGCCCATTGATTGTTCCACTGAGAAAAAGAATTTTAACATTATTCATTTTTTTCATAATGATTTTCAAACTTTTCTCATAAGGAGAACCATCTCAGGTTATAGATAAGATTTTTTGGGCTATTTTACCATCCATTTCAATCTCTGCATGGATCTTTTATTTATAGGTTTTACTTACTGTCCATACTAGTTAAAACTTTACTTGAAAATAAAAGATTTCTTTGTTTAAAGTGTAGCCCCTGAATTTAGAAAAACAAAAGACAGCAAGATTTCACTGTTTACTGTAGTGAAAAATTAGAATATAAATGTTCAGTATCTATATAATATAATATTATGATGCCATTAACATCCTATTTTGCATAATAATTAGTGTTTAATGTATTCATAGTATATTCCAAATGTTGTGTTAGAATTTTACCTAAGACTAGGTGTGGTGGCTCACACCTATACCAGCATTTTGAGAGGCCAAGGTTGGCCTCAAGGCCAGGAGTTGAAAATCAGCTTGGGCAAAATAGCAAGACCCCATTTCTACAAAAAATAATTAAAAAAAAATTATTATACACCTGAGGTTCTAGCTACCATGGAGGCTCTATCCCTTGAGCCCAGGACTTGGAGGCTGTAGTGAGTTATGATCATACGACTGCATGCCAGCCTGAGCAACAGAGTGAGACCATATCTTACAGAGAGATAATTTTACCTGTATTCCTGTAACAACCCTGTGAGGCAATTGCTGTTATTACTCCATTTCACAGATGAGAAAATTAAAACACAGTGAAGTTAAATATTTACCTGCAGTTGCATAGATAGATAGTAAATGGTAGAATCTGAATTTGAGCCTGTATCTAACTTTTTTATTCATGCTTTTAACTGCCACTACATAGGAAAATGTTTATAATATATTAAAATGGCAAAAAGAAATACAGAATTTGAAAGTATGGTTCCAATTTTGTGTAATGAAAATACACACCAAGATACACAATTAAGCATAATATTAATAAAGACAGGCACTATTATTGAACATGATTGTTAAAACGCCAAGAGC